CCACTGCACTCCAGTCTGGGCGACGGAGTGAGACTCCAACTCAAAAAAACCCCCCAAAAACAAAAAAACCAACAGAAATGTATTTCTCACCATTCTGGAGGCTGGTACTCTCCTGTTTTACAGATGAGAACACTGAGGGTCAGCGTCTTCAAGCAGTCAGCTCGAGGCAGCCCAGCTCCCGAGCACGAGCTCTCTCTGCAGAGCGTCCTTGCCTCCTTGGAAAGGAGCTTAGACATCTGAGCCTGGTTTTTGCCCCATGGTGGGAGGACTTTGCTGTTTCCCTGCAACTGATCTGCCCACGGTTTTGGGCACAGAGCTCCAAATCCTGGACAATCCCCATATCCGAGCTGGCCTGCTTGTGCACTGGCGGACCCTCAGTGGCTCACCCCCAGCGGCTGGAGGCACACCTGGAAGCTGGGTACACACCTGCCATGGTGGTGCTGAGTGTGGACAGAAGCACGTTGCTGGGTCAATAAATATGATTTCGCGTCATGCGAAAGTCATTGTCAGCTTCTGAACAAGTGTCCCCTGCGCACCAGTTGGTTTGAAGCAAGCGAGTGCTCGGCACTGCTGTCACATAAGCAGAGTCTGTCACGTACAAAGGACTCAGTTTGTCTCTCTCTGTGCTTTCCAGGCGGGTGAGGGTCTTGGAGTCCTTGCTTGGAATGATCCAGAGATTCCCCTATGATGACCCTACTTATGACAAGCTCCAGGAAGACTTGGACAGAATCAGAGGCAAGTTCAAACAGGTGCGTGCACTTGCTGCCTGTTTCCTTCTGCCAGGAGCACCTGGTGGTGTGCCCTTCCCGGCCGAGGTGGGCACGCGCCCTGGGGTCTGTGGGTCTGGGGCCTGGTGCTGCGTGTGTCCTCGACTAGTTAGTAGAGGCAGGTGGCCCTGTCTCTCCGTGCAGGGAGGTGAGGCTGTCCAGAGCCTCACTGAGGGCTGGTGACATAAGTGGAAGCTGGGCCGGGTGGAGTTTTGTTCTGATTTTCAGTCTAAATGCCCGAGATTTGCACACATCATCTCTTTTCTTGTGTGCTTTCAGTTCTGTTCATTACTCAACGTTCAGCCGGACTTTAGAATGAGCATGGGAGGTTCTGGACTTTCCTTTTGAGAATGGCAGACGAAACAAGATGAAACATCAAGGAACATGCGTCCCTGTGGTCAGCATCTAAAAACGCGATGGAAGGCCAAGCGACCACTGAGACTCACTGTTCGGGAGGGCGAGCTCCCGTGTGGCCAGTGAGTGGCCTCCATCCCCCTGAGGGCCTCTGCCGGGTCATCTGGTGTCCCCACAGGGCCTCCCCTCACAGGCCTGCCCTCGGCGGGGCTCTGTCTGCTCCGTCGGCCCAGGCAGGCAGGCCTGGCTGTCCTAGACCGGGGTTGGCTCCATGTGGGGTCACCCCCAAGCCTGGCTCGGGGAACAGTTTTTCTTAAATGAGAGAGATGGCCCTGTGCATTAGGTGACCGGGAGACCAGGACGAGTGCTGTGACGTTTGCTGTGACATGTGTTGGGCCGTGTGTAGCCCGCCATAGCCCATGGGGTGAGCACTACTCCCATATTACTGACCAGGCAGCCGGGATTGCAGGGGCTCGCACGACACCCGGCCTCCCCTGGGGCGTGCCGGGCGGCCCATGCAGTGTCGGGCGGCCCTGCCCTCCCTTCCAGAGCTCCGGGGAGTCCCCGGGTCAGGGTGCCTGGGCACCTGCTGAGGGAGGAAGAGGCCAGCACCACCTTGAGCATCCGGTCTGCCCTTCGCGCCACCCATTCACAACTGGTTAAGGTACGGCGGCGCCCAGCGCTGGGGGTTCTCGAGGTGGGAAGAGAGTGTGAGGCCAGGAGTTCGAGACCAGCCTGGGCCGCACAGCAAGAACCCACCTCTACAAAAAATAATAATTTAAAAAAGAAGTAAAAGATGGTTACGGGGGAAAATATTTCGAACCAGAGACTCAGTGTTAGGCAGCCGGGGGCGCAGAAACGTTCCAAGCTGTGCGCTGGGGCCGCTGCACCCCGCTGATGGGAACCCCCACCTCCTCGGTGCTGGGAGGGAGCGCCTGCAGAAGCTGGGGCGCTGGCTAGGGCGGCAGAGTGCCCCAGGCCCTACGCGGGTTGAGGGGCCGTGTGTCAGGCGTGTGTTGACAGGCCCTGCTGCCGGCGTCCCCAGGGTCCCCGCACTCTGGCTCTCCCACCCCTCCTGTTCCAGAGAGCAAGACTGGGAGGGGGTCCCCACCAGTCCCCTCCAAGTCCAGGCACCCCAGCCTCTTGGTGGGCGGTAGTGACAGCCAGATGGGGGTCCCCCGTGTGACAGCAGCACCTTCCTGGCCCCCCCCCCCCGCC